TAAGGGTCTCGCAAAGCCAGTTGAGGATTTAGCGTGTAGGAGTTCAGGCTTTAGGATTCTAAGCTTTAGAGATCAGGGTTTAGGGCGTGTGGGCTTACGGGTGCCTGTGGACAGTTGAGGCCTCAGCGGTAATTTTGACTTTTAGGGCTTTAATTCGGGGTACTAAGTAGCAATACGCTCGCTGTTTCTGTGAGATTAACAGCAAATGTAGGTTAGGTGTTTTGGGGCGTAGATGATCATTCGGTCCCTGGACCCTTGGGACGTAGCTCGTTTAGTAGCACTGCACCCCCTAGATACCTAACTGCACCTCCTAGATACCTAGAAAAGCTTCGCACAATATGGATTCTAACTGCACTCAGCCGCGGTACAAGAAAGACCTATCATTCTTAGCACCGCTGTTTGGGAAGAATCTTCGATGCCAATACAGACCTTGCGACACAATTGTGGGAATTGGATGGAATAATTACTCCTTTCCCTACACCCCTCAACGCGAAAGTGAAAACCTTATAGCCTTAGCCTTCCGAGGCCCTGACGCGACCGTAGCACAAGCAAGCGGCAGGCAGCGATTCGCAGGTCCCTCTGGCTAGCAGTTTAGGGTTGAGGCTTCGGTCTTGGGCTTGAGTTGAGGTCTAGGATACAGATTTTAGGTCTAGGGTTTAGCGCTTAGGGTTCAGGTCTACGGCTTAGAGCGTAGAGTCCATGTTCAAACGTGTCACATGATCGCTATAAGCGAACAATCCCAAAGGGTCCATGTGGTATATACTTGGACCTTAAACTGAAAGTTCGTATATGGGAATCCCTTTGGGCCTAAGTATATACTATATACTATGAATACCTAAATGGGTGGTTCTCAAAAATCCTTTTGGATCCCCATCACAATACGGCACCTAACATTTAGGGTACCCAACAGGGAACATATTTTTAAACAACCACCCCAAAAGGATGCTTTGGGAATGCTTTCAAAAGATGCGATAAGATCACCCATGCTGAATGAGGGTGACTCATGGACTCGGGTTTGCAGTTTAGCCGAAATCAAACAGACAACTACGATCCACCACAGGGGAAGCTGCTGTGAACGACAAGGCGATAGCACTATACCTGCGTATGTCTCATATCAGACATCTTGAGTGATGTGGGTCTCCGTTCTAAACCCTAGCCTCTCTCAGGAATATTATCATTCGTGGCACAAAATCACAAGCATGCATATTAAGTAGGTAGTATACTTCTCTCGAAACTTTTGAGACATGAAGGGCATCGTCAATTGTTGTTGATGACATAATTGCCAGCTACAAGTAGCACGCTTAAAGACCTGCGACCCTCGCCTGCCCCATCTAAGGACTGCACCCTCTACGCTCCGCCAAGCTAACATCGCATCGCCCAATACCAGCAACAAAAAAAAAAAACAGGGCCCTTTCGCAGGAGTCTCTATTATTACATGTTAGTTTGCAGGAGGAACCCCTCCTGCAAGCATAAACCCCACAAGGCTTCATTTCCTAAAGCAACATTCCTAGACCTTCCTCCTACCCTCTATTAAAAGGGCCTAAGTACCTACTATTAGGGACCATATATCCCCAATCAAGGGTACAAGGAGGGTCCTGGTTCATCTTTGTAGGGTTCTGTTGCTTGTCAGCTTGGGGAGGGGAAGAGCTTCTTGAGTAAAGCATGGGCTACTGCGGGAAATTGGTTTCATGTGAATATGGGCTAAGTCTAAGGCCTTGTCTTCAGCGCTAATGTCGGAGGAAGCGGGGATATGTAAGGGTATATGGGGTTGTAGAAGGATAGACTGGATGATGCAAATCTCAATCCACAGGTACGTATTTGAAGCCTAAACCCTTCATCCTGAATTTGCTCTGAACCAGCTTGAACTCCCCAACCCCAAGCCCTGAACCCTAAACCTTAAACCTCAAACTCTAAATCCCTGCCCATAGCCCCTAAACCCCAAACCCCTGAACCCTGAACACTGTAACCGCAAGGACCGCGCCCTCCACTTTCCAGTGCCGGCCAGCGCGAGTCGCTTGTGGCAGGAGGGCTACTCTGAGTACTCCACCTGAGTGTACCGCAGCTTCGCTTAGGGTTTAGGTTCTTAGGGTTTTGGGGCTTGGGTTTGGGTGTTTTAGGGTTTATAGGGGTGTAGGGTTTAGGGGTTTCAGGGTTTTACATGGCAAAATGCATCCAGTATAGCCCCTTCAAACGGTATCAGTACAGCCCCCAAATCGTCTAAACCCTAAACCCGAACCCTAAACCCCAAACCCTGACCCTGACCCTAACCCTAACCCCTATCCCTAAACCCTAAACTCCAGACTGCTTCGGCCGAAGCTCTCCGCGTCGAAGCTGGGTCCAAGAGCTGCCTCTCCGCACGTACTTGGAGGCTCATGAGTCGTAGAAATTACATATAACTGGGTCCCTTTAAAAGGAAAAATATTGGGGGAGGGAGAGAGAGAGAGATACATATATATATATATGTATGTACATATAGAGTTCAAGGTTTTAGGGGACTTAGTAACTGCTATTACAATGATAAGCCTAATTAGAACTCCCCTTACTACCCTACGTGGGGTAACCTGGGTGAATGAAGGATTACAAGCTCAGTTATAGGTTGTCACTAAGTCCCCTGCTCCACAAGACACGCGCTTCTCAAGAAGAGTTGAGGGTTTGGGGTTTCAGGCATTCGGGTTCTGGGGAAGGTTTAAGTTCAGGGTTTAGCAAGGGTATACGGCTTTCCACG